AAAATCATTGTAAATAAATGTCACATTGACTGATTTTATATATGAAAAAATGATCAGTTGAAGGGTAGAGTAATCGATTAGACGCAAATTCATCATGTGATTTTATCTAGCTGTCAAGTTTATAATTAACTCTTTCCATTTTTTAGGTTTTCGTTCCTGATTTTGCGATAACATCTCGCAGCTATCTAGTTTGATCTGAAAAAAATTCTTTATTTGTTACAAAATAGAAAGTTTCACATTAATTAATTTATAAAGAGTGTAATGCAATTTGGAAAATATTTAGATCGCTAAATTAATATGAATAAATTGAATCTAATGAAAGATTTAAGAGTACAATGACTACTAAAAATTGCACCCCTTCCAAACTAATAATTAGATATGATGAGCAGCAAAATACCAATTATTGATAATGAAATATTCTTATTTAAATCAATTCATATGTCTCGTAAAAAAAATCAAGTAAAAACTAAAAGAAGCACAATAAATCTAGATAAGAGACTAATTAAAAGGCTAAAAAAAAAGTTTCCTATTATGATCTAACGTACGGTACATCTGCATACGGTAAAGTATGTACATAATGATAATTATTGTATCTTATTCAAAATAAGTCAAACAATTATAGTAAAATTCTAAAAAGGTTCGGTAATCTGAATTTTTTTGAAAATGATCAATAAATTTGCTGATTATTATTAAATCAACTCAGACAATCGACCATCGATTGTGATTTTTAGAATCGATCCCCATCTCTATTTATGAACTTTTTTACTGTGTTTAATTTCAGGTCGTAATTATTAGTGAAACAAATTCTCCAGAAAGAATGTTAATTTTTATAGTGAGAGAGCAAGTTATAGTTATATCTTGGCAATTGAATATAAGAAAAATACTATGCATTTGATGTGTCGGCAGCTCAAGCAACCGATATGATCGTAGGGGTTCTTTTTTAGTTTCATATTGATAACAATCTGATATAAAGATAAATCATTCTATTATTATTTTCATTTTGCTAAATTAAAATTTTATATTATTTCGGGAAGAAATGCAGGTTTTGTAGTCTATTTGTTCCGCGCCGTTACGGAATTTAGGTCGATCCGGAATTGACACGTGTCATTCGGGAATCGTGAATTGGCACGTGTCATTCGTGAATCGTGAATTAGCACGTGTCATTCGTGAATCGTGAATGAAGTAGGATCGGCGCGTGTCATTCGTGAAATGAATTAGAATCGGTATCCATTTACCGATTAAAATAAAAGCGAAAAAAAATAAAATAAAATAAATTTAAGAAATAAAAAGCGAATAAAAATAAATTATCCGATAACCCTACTATGATCGGGACTATCAAATAACTATATATTATTAAATGCTCTCTTAACGTTAATTGATAGAAAATTTTTCCTACATTAAATGAAAAATGATTAAACTAAAATAAATTTAATAAAAAGCGAATAAAAATGATTAGTTCATATTAAGTACTTCGATTATAAATTGTTATAATATTCGATAAACGACTATTAACTCACAATCCGAATAAATAGAAATAAAAAGAAATTAAATAAGAAATGAATAGATCATAAAGTAAATCGATGTCAATTAATAAAGTATCATTACAAACTTGCACTTATAGACTATTTCAACCTATGTCAACGTGATAAGAATAAATTAAAAGAGAAATTTGGACATCGACCGTATAAATTTTATATGAACGAAATCTGGTTTTTCTTTGGTATCATCCATATAAAAAGATTAAATTAATGTTAGCTAGTATCGATTAAATCAATACATAAAAAATTGAATATAAACAAATGAGTATTGGCTTATCTTTGAATAATTCGATTGATCAATATAAAGAAATTGAATAATTTATTTTAAATTTCTGCATTGATTAAAATCAATACGAATAAATACATGAAAGATACGCTAATGGCATTAGGATAAACCTTAATAGATAATTGTTGAAATAATTGGAGAAACATTTATGCGTCAATCAGGTTGTGGGCACTGACGTCATATCTATGAGGAGCTTTTCGTTTTTTCGTTCTCATCTTTGATCACTGATTATCATTTCATCAACCCAGTAAAAAACCCTAAAAAGAAAAATAAAAAAATGCTAAAGATCCTGTGAATAGATATTCAAATTTGAATCGGGTCACTGATATTTATGTCTGAACTCCATGTTTTTACCATCATTTGTTATAACATTTATAGTTGCACTTATGCGTATAATTTTGCTGAATATTTTAAAATTTAATTGTGACACATATCACGAGAAAAGCGATAAAGATATAATCACGTGTGGATCAAATCGTGCGCAGAAGTTCTTGTATACAGAAGAAATACTACGACATAAAGAACATTAATACATAAGTTATAATATATGAGTGTTTAAAACTTTTTATATGTCTACAGGCTCTAACGAGTATAATAAACGATAGATCTTTAAACATTACATTAGTTCGGTATAAAAAGTGCGGTAAGTATTTAAAAAATATGTAAAAAGTAATAAAATTTACTGTAATGTAATTTGATTAGTTAGTTGCACATGATGCATGAATGGCTAATCAAAACTTGTTATTCAATTTTCATGTGATCAACTAATTACGGAAAGTTATCCTACTAACAATTATTCTAAAATTATAATTTTATTAAAAAATTTCAAATCAACTTAAATTCCATTCCCATTTATAAGTGGGAATGGAATTTAAATGGATTTGGAATTTCTTAGTTAAATTAGGGTTAGCCCAAAACGAGGTTTTATATATAAATTCCGAATCCACTTAAATTCCGTTTCCACTTACAACATAATCAATCAAGTAAATAAATCAAGTTATATAATCGTAATTAAATTGATCAATAATCATGATAGTTAATCAGTACAACCGATATTAAGGGTCGATACTTATATGGTAATAGAGTAATAACAAAAAGTGTATAATATGATCGTGAAGAACCTTCACGGTTAAGATAGGGAAATAACAATCCCGAGGTGGGACCGTTAATGTTAAACATCTAATCCCACACACGTGATCAATTAAAATAGAATTATTTATGCTGGACTCAACTCTATAGTCTATGTGATAGATATAACCCTCACCAATTTTAATATATGTGTAACATTAACGGACCCTCCTGTAATAACAATCAATACAACAAGATAACAATAAACTTATAACAACAAATGAGAAATCAATTCTTAATACTCTAAAGCTTTATTTGAAGAGCGAAAAGACACAGATCTTTTATACTTTCAGAATACACCGAAGGCTTACAACAAGGAACCAAGTATATTTCTATCGCTAATTCTATGTCTGTACTTTGTTTATATAACTTCGTTAGCCCAACCTTAGTCTGACCTCCTAAGCCCCATTCCTGGAATACTTTAGTATATGTCTAGTTCGTATGCCACACAACAATAAACAAATAAAATAAATCTATAGATATAAAAATAAACAGAAATGACGAATAAAATAAATTATCCGGCATGATGGTGACGAATACAGATTAACAGAATAATAACAACGCACGTGGCCTTCGGCCACGTGCTTTTGTTATCATCCTGCCAATAACTGTGTATTCGTCAGATCATGCCAGATAACAAGAAATAATTATATAGGTCTAAACTTCTAAGCCTTCACCACAAACTTAGCCTCACAATATGCTTATGACCCAGGGCATACACATTCTCGTTACTACAAGTCACGATTTTTTTAAAAAAAATCGTAACAATACCAAAATTGTGTCAGCAGATTTTAATGTGAATGTTGTGACTTTAGTATTAATAGCATGATAAATTAGATTTTTTTTTTTTGTGGTTAAAATTGTTAATATGAAAGCGTTATTTAATTATATTAATGTAATAATAAATGTTGCTGATACTGTTACTAGTGAAATCGTATTCACCTAATACCCCGAATTTTCATGGAATGACGATTCCAAGAGACCTGAAATTAGATCGTAGCAATAACACCGAGAGCCAGTGAATGAATATGCAAGAATCCCATTGAAGCGACGATCGCAAACCTACGATCTACCGTCGAACTTAAAAAAGAAAAAAGGTAATTCCGGTTAACTTGATTGTTACAATGACGTCGAAATCGAACGATGGTTCAATGTTACTCTCTTTGGATAAGTGTGTGGCCGCGGTAAATGAAGCGCAATTGTGGTAATGAGGTTGGGATTTTGCAATGAGGAAAATGGTGTGAACGCTTTACTTTTTTCGATTTGCTGCAGTAGCAAAGGTTGTGAATGAAGAATGGTAAAAAGGAGTATAAGGCTTCAAAATCAATGAGGAAGCATGGTAAAAGCTATACCAGAAAGTTCAAAATGATTTTTTAACTTTTCTCTGTAATTTGCTATAAATAGAGGTGGAATCTTCCCACTTGAATAATAATACCCTGTGCATTTTCAAAAATTTGTTAATAAAGAATATCTTAACCACTAAATCCAACCTTCTTTAAGAATCTTCCCTGAATACCCCCTGTAAAGTACCTCAATAGACGCTTTAGACCTCGCCAAATTGTAACCGTCTCACCCTCTCTATTGAGTAATGTTACGCAACGTCCCCTTTGTAAATTGACAATTCGTCGCGTGTATTTTTGATCATTTACCCGTTAACAATACTGAAATGGATAATGCTGGAATTTGTAAATTCAACCAATCAGGTTTCATAAAGGGAATGAAATGTTTTTATATATCTTTATATTTTGACTAAATAAGCATTAATTTTTTTTTTTTTTTGGATCAAATGACAATATTTTATTTATGATAAAGTAAATTGTTATTGTAACTAACGTAAATGAAAAATTATCTCGGTGTGGCCTTGGAGATCAACTAAAATAATCTATTCAATTTACCGTAGATCTATTCATGATCATCATAGCTATTTACTGTAGAGTATTCATGATCATAGCTATTTACCGTAGAGGTGGAAAAAACAGTTATACGACAGAAAATTTTCTTTTATCAGCCAGATTACTATGAATGGGCTGCTAAATAATTTTGGCTATTTGGCAACAATTAATAGTTTATTTTGGTTATTTGCAGAAATTGATAGTTTATTTTGGTTATTCTGAAAAAATTGATAGGTACATACGAATGTGGCTTAATTTATTCTGTCGGGATGCATTTTTTACAAGGTATACCTAGAATGCTGTATGACGTACTTTGCGTATGTGCTTTTTAAATAAATTTTTAGAATAAATCGAAGCGTTCGAGTTTTCGAGTAGTTTCTTATATTTTAAAATTCACTAGCGCTAGGTAGATCATAGTACTTAAAGTCGTCTTTTATGTTTTAAACAGATCGATGCATTGAAAATA